TATAAGAATTTAATATTAATTCATTTTTTATTAAATTAAAAATAAACATGCATTTTACCTAAAGAAATTATAAATATTTCATAAATTAAAATTTTATAGTAATAATTTTTTTAATTCTTATTTTATTTTGTATTTAAATTACAATTATTTAATTTGAAAATTTGTACTGTTAATTTGTATGTTATTTAATAAATTTTGTAATTTATTAAAACCTATATTATAAGGTTTTAATAAATTACATTTTAACAAAATGATATGTTATAAATTAATTATAAGTTATTTCATTTCCATATTTTTAATTTTTTAAACTTTTTCTTCTCTCTTTTAAATCGTTTCTGAAATATCACGTAAGGCAATATTGATAAAATCTAGGTTATAAATACAAAATTCGTAGATATGACAATTTTTTATAATTTTTTATAGTATTTTTTTTAATAAATATAAAATTTATTTGTGATAAAATAATAAATGATACATTGTGTAGTATTCAATGGGTGAATATACTGAGTTTGAGTCCTTCATATAGTAATTCCTAGAAAGACGTCTCTCACATTGTTAGTCACCTGACCCCGTGTATTGACTATTTTAGTGTTTTGTATTGTTTCTACGGCAACGAATATTGGTGACGTATCCAAATTGGCGCGAAATCTCTTAGCCATATGATTAGAAGGTTTCATAGTTAGACTGGCAGTTGCTCGTTTGCCTCCAGACTCTTCAGGTGAGCTTAAATTTACTTACTTTTCTATACTTAAACGAATGAAATTTCGCTTTAGTTCTTTATCAAATTTTATTTCAAATATTTCTTAATGCAGGATAATTAATCAAATAATGCTCTACTGTATTTTATAAATGTACTTTCTGAATTATTTATATTTTTTCGAAATTTTAATTATTCATAATGACTATGAAATATTAGATTTGAAACATTTAAAACCCATTGATACTTTTAAAAAGTATTAAAAATAATTATAATTCATTTAAGACTATGAATAAATCTTAAAAACTTCTTTTGTATATTTAATTATATTAATAAAATATATTATCTAATGAAAACAAATGTGATAATTGATGGTAGAAAGTATTATCTCAATTAAATGATAAAAATTTATTGTAAATTTTGTTGATTTAAAAATTTGTACTATTGAAATATTGATTTTCCTATAGATTTCCAATATTGTTCTACTTAATACAATCAGATTTGATTCTCATGTAAAATTTGATTTAAAACACTTTGTTGGCATAGGTGAAATTCAAATAATAAGCTGTTACGATATAAATTTTTAATTTAAAATTAGAAAATAAGAGTTAGAGAGTAATGATTATGTTTGCATTTCAAAATAGTGAATAAAACGAGACGTATGTAAAACTCATCAAAATAATAAGATTAGATCTTAAATGACTAATGGATTTCATCGATTTCGTGTAAGAAAATGACTATCGAACAAAAATCTAAAAAGAAAAAGAAGAAGGGGAAAAACATTAAACTTAAAGATATAGATCGGTTAATTATAAATAGAACCGAATCAAATTGAACTTAAAGGTTTTATTGTTGTTATTGCAGCTTGTTGTGCAATATCTTCCATGAAAGTTTTTATTGACAGAATTGACAATGGTTCGAAGAAAAGAATTTTTATTCTTTTAAGCATCAGTTCGATTTGAAAGTATTATATAATTACGTATGACTAATTACGTACTAAAGGATTAAATAATATCTGAAATTGTTTTTATTCCTTTCAGTTATAAATTTATTTTGTTTATGAAATTGTTTTCTTAAAATAGTTTATCTTAAATGAGATATCTTATGAAAGGACTGAGAATAGGGTTATATAATCTATCAGAAATGCAATGAGTGAGTAAGGCTTTTTCGGTTTATTCTTTAACGTTGAGAATATAAATGATATGATTTACTTTTTTGAAAATATATTTAGCTCCTAATAGAAACTTTTTATTCAATTATTTATTTTAGTAGTTTTATAGTTTAACTTTTCTCATATGTTATGAAGACTGAAACTGAGATGTCTTTAGTAATCTGTACAGTACATCTAATTCAAATATTTCACTAAAATCAAATAATCAGACTTTATTAATTAGTTATATGTACACAAAGTAATAACATTATAAATTTTCGCTAATGTTTTAAAAGTTTATTATCGATAGGTTATTTTATGATGTATTAGTATTGGTTTGACATTGTTGAACATCGTTCCATTTAATTTCTGAAAAAATAATATATATATAATTTATATATTATATAGACTACACATTAAATATTTAAAAAAACTAACATATATAATAATAATAATTTTAAACTGAAAGTGCATCTTCTCTTGTCTTGTTACGCTTTATAATTCGTATATGTTCATAATTCTTTTCAAGTAATGAAAAATATTTATAAATGTCAAATAAAAACTCTAAATATAAAAGTAACATTATCGTATTTTCATAAATTATTGTGGAATGTTTTGTAATATGGTAATGTACTGTATATTTAGTACATAATAAATTTTATAAATTGTAAGAGGTACTGTACGTCAATATTATGATCCACATATATCAGGAAGTATATGTTAAAACTCAGTCGGCATTAAATAGACATCACAATTTTTTAGTAAATTCTTCAAAAACTTTATTGAAAATTTATCATTTTGGAAAGAAAATGTTTACCGAATCAGTAATTATGTGTTTATCTAAAGTATTTATTTTTAGCATCTTTTGCGTGTTTATAGTTTATAAAGTTTAAATATATAAATTAAACTCTAAGTACTACGTCTATAATCAAAATGTTTGGACTTTTTTAAATAGAGAACTTTCGTAAAAAGTTATTTTTAAAATGTGCAAATATAATTCATAAATCAAATGTGCTTATATTAAACAAAACAACTTTTTATCATATAATTTAAAATAAAATACAATCCACAGTACAGGCACAGATAGTATGGACAGCTGGCTATATGGCTCAGATTCTCGGACACAGAGATCCTAAAATTTAGTATTTATGTTAAAACGTAGTATGAAAGGAATATAGATTAAAATTTCTCTTGATAAATGGTAGGGAAAACTGCTTTTATTTGTTTTGTCTGTTTTATTCATATAATTTTGACTATCGGAGAAGGATAAGTGAAATCTCATCTTTCTCAGTCACTTCTAACGGGAACTTATATGAACATATATACTATATAGGGACAGGACGCCCTAAACTTTCCGTGTCTGGTCTCGATTTTCATATTTCTAACTCCGTTCCCGAGATCAAGGAAAGATAGACAGACGGACAACAGTGGGAATTTATAGATCTACAGTTTTTTTTAAATTGCAGCTCAATAATGTATGGCTAACAATACAAACCGAAATTCAAAGATGAAACATTTTAGCTTAAATATAAATAATTCAAAAATAACTAATTAATAAAATTACACCAGCATATTATTTATTGATATTTTGTAAATACGCAATCATTTTCTTTCATGTATTTCTTTTTCTTTCATGTATTGCGATTAGTAATCTTTTAATATAAGGCAAGTCGACAACTCTTTTAAATAATATAAAAATCATTAAATAATAAAATTTTTTGCTTCTATACAGTTAACTTCAGATGTGAAAATTTTTAGGGAAACAAGAATTTTTGTTTATTAAATATGTAGCTTGCATGAAGAAAGGTGAATGTTACATTAAGGAAATGAAGATTTTAGAGTCAGTGTAGTATGCTTGAAATCGTCAATCATTTACTGACTAATAATGTTGAATTGCAAATTTCAGAATATATGAATTTGTTATGGTTTATGTCAATTTTTATTTTATAGATTTTTTTAATGTAAAAAATATAAATTCATATATTTGTACATTTTTAATTGATTCGATCAATAATTCTGGAAAGTGGGGCGTATTAAAAGCACGATAAACAATATTAAAAGAAATATTTTGTACATTAAGAAAAATTTTTAATATAATATAAGGATTATAAAATGGTTAAAACTTTTTACCTTCCCGGCTCTGATATAACTTATATAACAGAGGAAAAGCAAGACGATCGGTCAAAATAGACCCCTCCCCCAAGATTTTTACATTTTTGGACTCAGAGGACGTTGAAACGTCGAGAAATGCAAAAAAATTCGGAGGTTTCTTCCTGTATGTATGAATATTAATTTGTGTGGGGCACAATTTTGTTCACCCTCTTTGAAACTTAATAACTCCTGTGCTTTTTGTCGAACATTTCTGAAATTTTGCAAGAAAGTTTGTGTATGAAGAGTATTGATGCTGTTAAATTTTGGTGATTTAATGTCATCGGTGTGAGGAGATAGAGGAGATCACGTGTCATATCTCGAGTAGGATCGGACTTAATGACGATTTTACTCGTTATTAGCATTTACAATTTGTTTAATAAAATCCTTTTCTACCCTCAAAACGAACTTTTTCCTATTTTATAAAAATTAAAAGTACAGTATTCGCCAAACCCGAGAATCTTTAGCCAAACAAGAATTCTTCGATTATTAAATCTTGAGTTCACATCCAGAAAAGTTTAATGTCGCATTAAGGAAATAGATACTATGTAGCCAATATAATATATTTGAAGTCATTAGTCATTTATTGGATTGATAACGTTGAGTTATATGTTTTAGGATTATAAATTTCATTATGGTCAATGTCATATTGGCCACAACAAAATTCATAATCACTATTTTAAAGATTTTTAATATAAAATGTGTGATATTTTTGTATCTGAAAATTTCGGAATTTGTCTATTGTGCAAGTTGAACTAATATGAATCAATATAAGAATATGTTAAAAGATGCAAATAATACAACTCGTTTCCTCGTAGCAAAGTATTGGGATTGTCATGTGGCGCTGCATACTTTCGTTGTATTTGTGTGGCGTGGACCATGTGTGTTTGTTTTTTACTTTTCCCGTTTCTTGGTCCAATGTATTTTTTTCTTTGTATCAGTTCGCTTTTCACTGCATATATACTAGAAAGGATTTTTATAACAGACTGCAAGAATATTCCTGTATAAATTAACATGTCTTTAGAACATACAGAATAAACGTTAATAATATGTTCAGCTTATAAATTATTTTTAATGTTGATATTCTTATATATAACTTTTAAAAATATTTTTTAAATTTGAATATAATATAGCTAAATGTATGTGTTTTCATTTTATATAGTTTGGAGATTTTATCTTTATTGTTAAACAAAGAGAAGAAAGGCATGTTGTTAACTCTGTAGATATTTAAATTTTAAAATTGTAGGATTTAGATGCATTTATTCATTTTATGCATTCTTCAATTTTGATAAAATTTGACTGATTATTTATTCTGAAAGCAGTTTATTTACATTAGTATTCCAGATTATCTCAATGAATTTTATTAAAATTCCATAAGTTTAAATTAGTTTAAAGGCTAAATTATTAAAATACAATTTAAATGTGTTATAACTATTATTAAATATAGTTTAGTTTTTTATATTCTTCTACAGAATATTTTTTTAATTTTTACAAGTTTAGATTAAAGTAATACTTTTAGAGTAAATTTATAATTATTTATTATATTATATTTAAATATTTTATATACATAATACAATAAATAATTATAAATTTTAAAAAATTGTCGGCTGCTCCTCTCTGGATCACCCTAAAAGCAATAAACCCTAGATAAAACTCTTACCTTTATTATTAATAAAACTAAACTAGTTCATTCGTTGTCAATAATGAAAAATAAACGTAAAAT